TAAGAATTAATGCTTCAGGGTTTTTTATGTTGTGTTAGTGTCGTTATTGTTGGTTTGTATTTTAATTGTATTTTTTTAAAATATTTTTTTTGTTTTTTGTTTCGTTTGTTGTCTTTTTCAGTGTAGTTTTTTTTATTATTAATTCTCTGTGTTGTTTGTTTATCGCCTTTTTGGCCTTTGAGACGAGGGTAAGGCGTAAGAGGAAGGAGGAAGGAGGAAGAAAGGAAGGAGATGAAGAGGAGAAAGAGAAAGGAAGAGAAGAAAAAATTAACGATGTACTGTTATTCTTGCAAGAAGGAAATAGGTGAGAAAGGGAGAGAAAAGGAGAAAATAAGAAAAGGGAGGAGGAGGAGAATCATAGAGAGAAAGAGAAGGATTGAGAACGAGAAAGGGAAAGAGAGAGAGAAAAAAGAGGGAAAGAGAAGGCTTGAGAACTAGAAAGGGAATGAGACGGAGGGAGGGGAAGGAAGGGAAGGGGGAGGAGAGAGAGGGAGGAAAAGAGAGATTATTTTTTAAATCCTCTTGCTCCCTCCCCACCCCTCTCCCTCCCCCTTCCCACTCTCTCCCCCTTCCCCTCTCTTCCCCCCTTCCCACTCTCTCCCCCTTCCCCACTCTCTCCCTTCCCACTCTCTCCCCCTTCTACTCTCTCTCTTCCTACTCCCCACTCCCTCCTCCTTCCCCTCCCCACCCCCCACTCCCTACTCTCCCCACTCCCTACTCTCCCCCACTCCCTCCCCTTCTCCCACCTCCCTACTCTCCCCCTCCCCCTTCACCCCCCCCTCCCCCCCCGCTAATACCCAAATACCATCAATAACGCGCGTCCGAGGCCTCCTTCCCTGCCCGGGTATTGACTCCCGCGATGAAAAATGGGGCCGAAGGTGAGAAATTGGGGGTCGTTATTTCGAGGAGGGAGGCGATGGGGGGGGGGTTGACACGCCCCCCTCCTCTTCTCCCTCTCTCTCCTTTCTCGACCCCCTCTCTCTCTCTTCTCTCTCGACCTCTCTCTGTCGATCTCTCTCTCTCGATCTCTCTCTCTCTCTCTCTCTCTCTCTCTCTCTCTCTCTCTCTCTCTCTCTTCTCTCTCTCTCTCTCTCTTCTCTCTCTCTCTCTCTCTCTCTCTCTCTCTCCTCTCTCTCTGCCATCGTGGGAATGGATTTTTTTTTTTTTTTTTTTTTCTGTCTTTTCTTCTGCGTTTCTTTTTTTCTCTCTTGTTGTGGTTCTTCGTTTTCTTTCTTTTCTTTCCCCATTTCTTTCCTCTGTTTTCCTGCCTTTATCTTTTCCTTCCTTCTTCCTCTTTCCTTTCATTCCCCTTTTCTTTCTTCCATTTCCATACTTTCCTTCCATCCTTCTTATATTCTTTAGTTTTATTTTTTTCCAACAATCCTTATTTCCTGCTTTTCTCTCTTTTCTTGTATTCTCCTTTTTATCCATTCTTTCTTCTTTTTTTTCTTATTTCCCTTCGCTTCGTCTCGATCTTCCGCCTAAAATTGACCCCCCCCAAAAAAAAAAAAAAAAAAAAAAAAAAAAAAAAATAGATTGCCTAAAAATTGAACCAAAAAGAAAAGAAAAAAGAATAAAGAAAAAAAAGAATAAATTGAAAACATGATTAAACTTTTCTCTTCACTTCTCTCTCCTGTTCTTGGATTTTTTGTTATGTGTTGTTCTCCCACCTGTTGTTCATGTGTTCTCGGATGTTCTTCTTGGGTTATAACAGCTCTATTTCTCTCATTCTCTCTGCTCTCTCTTTTCTCTTTCTTCTTCTCTCTCTCTCTCTCTCTCTCTCTCTCTCTCTCCTGTCTCTTTCTCTCATCTTCTCTCTCTCTCCTCTCTCTACTCGCTCTCTCTCTCTTTCTCCGCTCTCTCTCTTCTCTCTCTCTCTANATACAATATATATATATATATAGTATATATATATATATATATATTATATATATATATATATATAATATAATATATATTATATATATATATTACATACATATTATATATATATATATATATATTATATATATATATATATATATATATTATTATATGTATTCATATATATATTGTGAGTTGATGCCTGCTCCTGCACCCAACACGCATCCTCTCCCGTCTCTTCACGCATCCTCACCCCCTAATTCTCACATACCTGAGGTTGTCCTTACTCTCCTCGTCAAAGTTTCCCAAGTCCTCTCCTTCCTTACCGCCCTTCCTTGATCATTTCCTACAGATCCAAAGGATGAACCACCACTGCCTCCTGACTCTACACACATACATACATACCTACACATACACTTGGGGGATGACATCTAAATGGGTCATGGTTTGGTATCGGCATTCCTTCCGTTAGCTTTCCTGTTACTTATTTTATGATTTTACTAATCTTATCGTTTGTTCTGTTCGTTTTTTGTTCTTATTAGCCCCACTGAGACTTGCACTGCTTTATAAAGATAGCTCACAGCTCACGCCCTATGCAGTCTTGTTGATCGTAATGTTTTATTTTGTGTGTCACTTT